ATTTATTATTATAAATCTTACCGATAAATAAATCTATGCAATCTATTTACTAATTTGAAAGCCATCCATATAAATGTATCGATGTATGTAAGGATATTCAGTATACTGTCAAATATACAATAAGCCAAACTTTTTAAAAGATTTATTTACTGAATAATTATTTAATGGTTTAAGTTGTTCATTTAAATACTATGAATCCAAAATCTGATACCTATTTAAGCTGATCAGAATAAATCATTTGTAAATTATTAGTAATTTATTATCAATTTAAAAATACTCATGATCAGTGTCTTTCTTTGTGCTAATATAAAGACAATGCTATTATTCTTTTTCCAACAAATTTAAACAATCCCACTTAAAAAATTATAAATTACTAGCCAAGAGCGTATAAAGTTTACTTATACATTTCTGTACGTTACTACTTGTTTGTCATTTTTATCTAGAGCTTATATAGGGTTCGAAAGTCACGAGAGAATGAAAAAAAAATGATTGGCGGACTAGCGGTAGTTTATCTCGACAATTTATAAAATAATTATCATCAAACAATAAACAAAATCACCTAACCTTAAATCGTCTTAACTAATTTGTAGAACTTGTCAAAGATACGTTCGATAATAACAAACCGGTGGTTTATTTGATTGATTCGAATCGCCGCAATCGATAGAAGTGACAAGAAGTGCCGTATACGAAGACGCTTGTCAGAATCCGGTGCAAAAATTAAATAAGTATTCAGTTAATTGTTTGATCGCTTTGGTTCAGGGTTGTGTGTAAAATTTTATGATCAGACCCGGCGCGACCGTTGTAAAATTTTCAGCTTTCAATATCTGTTTCAATTTCAGTTGTTGTTTTCTATCAACTACCATAGCTTTTATTCACTAGAATTGTTTAACTTAGTTGCAAGATGAGTTATGGAAAAGAGCAGCAACGGCTTTTGAATCTTTCGAATGAAATGGAAACTGACGAGGAGCCTGCTGATGATGATGAAGATAAAGATATAGTTGACAATGTGGAAGTCAAGGAAGAAGAACCTGAAAGCGAGCAGAAAGCAGAACAGCGAATCAGAAATATCTATCGGGCTTCAATTTCTTGCTAAAGATGGTGTAAAAATGTGGAACAAGCATCCTCCTTCACAGCGAGTAAGGACCCGAAAAAGTAATTTATTAGTACATTTACCCGGTGTAAAAGGAGTTGCAACATCCGCAAAGTCTCCTTTGCAGTGCTGTAACCTTTTTTCACTGACGAGATGTTAATTTCAATAGTAGAAAATACCAACAAATATATTGATACTATTTCACGTAAGTTTAGTCATCCAAGAGATGTAAACCGCACCAATTTAGCATAAATAAAAGCACTTATGGGACTATTATACCTTGCCGGTTGCCTAAAAGGTAGTCGGCTGACTACAGAAGAACTCTGGAATTGACAAGGAACAGGTGTAGCAATATTTTGGCTTACAATGTCTTTGCAAAGGTTTAGATTCTTTCTACGGACAATACGCACAGACGATAAAAGAACGAGAGCGGAGCGAACTAAAACTGACAAACTAGCACCAATACGATCAATTTTTGACTCATTTGTTAGAAACTGTCAGCAGTATTATAATATGTCTGCCTATGCAACAATTGACGGAAAATTAGAAGGATTTAGGGGAAATTGTGGATTCAGACAGTATATTCCGTCAAAGCCAAATAAATACGGAATCAAATTTTTTGCATTAGTAAACGCAAAAATGTTTTATAGAATGAACATGGAAGTGTACGTAGGCAAACAACCTAAAGGATCTTTTCAACAACCTAACGATCCTGGCAGTATAGTAGAAATACTAATTAAGCCTATTTCAAACTCTGGTATGAATATAACGATGGATAACTGGTACTACCACTGGAATTTGTAAATACGAAATTCCGTCCGGCTTATTCTAGCAGGTTTGGGTTTCAAAAAAATCGAACAATAGTATCTTATATTCCTCGAAAAAGCAGAAATGTTATCCTACTTTCAAGTATGCGTTTTGATGATGCCATAGATTTGACCACCCACGAAAAGAGTAAACCGGAGATCATCACGTTTTCCAATTTTTTTAAATTTTAGCACGTGAGCTTAGAGCAGATCATTTAAAACTTCGTTCTATGCTCATTAATGTACCACAGCAAGTAAAAAGACGTCGCCAAGAGATTGATGGAACTTCACAGGATCATCCTGCTCAACCACCAGTGGGCACCAGAAAAAGGTGCGAAGACTGCCACGGGAGGGACAACAAGACAAGATATTACTGTGAGAAATGTTTCAAGTTTTTATGCCTATCCCATAGTAATACATTATGTGGTGATTGTAAATAAAAGGTACGGAAGGACTGAAAACTATGTTTTAAGGACTTTTTGTTATAAATTGATATTTGCTTATTTTGTATTTGTACCTGAAATATTTCAAGTTTAGTTAACCAAGTTTCCCAAAAAAATGCCTGTTTACCCGAGATTTTTCAAGGTTTTTCCATTATGGTCTGTTAAGGAATTGCTAATCGTTAGTGCTGTTAAAATAATTGAGAATAGAATTTAAATAATTGAAGCTCGAGATACCAGTAGCAACGGTTGTTGTTTGTAAACATAAAAGTAGTTGTTGATAGAGACTCGATTATAAAACGGCACAAATAAAGTATCGTAAAAAACACCCAGTGGTCGTCATTATAATTATAAAATAAATACAGTCCACTTTGAGTGCCAAATAAAGGCATTCCAAAACAGGGTCTCTAGGACCCAGCGCGACTAAATTTTTAACATTTAAGGGCGCGACCACTGAAAGGTTAAACGACTTACAGGATTGAACACGATACACTTATACACGGTATGTCGACGCGCAGATATTGTCTGTCTTTGTCGCACATCGTCACGTGTGTTGCAGAATCGAGCAATTTATAATTGTATTGCATGCCAAATGCGGATGATTTTATTGATTTATGATGTTTTTGGGACGACAGAATAATTGAGCTTGATTTTTTCAGGTTTGAGCGTTTCGAACATTGCTGATTTTAATAATAATACATATTTTTATTGCCTACAACATCTACAGTAAAACGGGTATTTTTAAGATAAAAACTTTATATAAGCATGAGTCTGCAAGGCCGCACTTATCGAGCTACAGGGCGTCCAAAATGTTTTTTTATTGTAGCTCGATAAGTAAAGGGTTGCGGCTTTATGCTTATATGGATTTTTATCTTAAACATACCTGACGAATTGTCCTGTGAACAGGCTACCTGACTACGCTTTAATTCTGACATACATAAGTCTAATATAAGTTGGTGTTCTTGACAAACATAGAAGTGCCTCATAAGGAATAATGATATCAAAAGTTAGCTTGCTCATAGTGCGATCGGCAAATTTTTTGAATAAATATTTGGCTAATAACGTTCCATGCATAACATTAATTTTAGATTCGAATACTTTAGTAGCTTGCAACATGTTATCATAGAAGATTTCCTGTTGAGATGAAACTCAGCCAATTTTGGGATGTTCTATCAATTTCAATATTTTTCGTTTCCACACCTAATTCATACTTCTAAATCTGTGGGCGACATAACCGGCCATATATTTTAAACCTTCTTTGTGTAATGTTTCTTTTAGTTTAAAAGATTTCAGTAAATCAGTATTTTCACTACTATTCTCAGTTTCTGTCTTGGAAATCTATACTTCTGTATATGGCGGATCAATAAATTCCCACTCCTTTAAAATACGTTGTTCCTGGTTGCCACTGTCATCAAGCAACTCCACAGACCTTATTATATTTGGTGCTAAATTAGAAAGAACAGTATTATTCAAGCAAACTCCTTCAATATCCTCATGTGATTGTTTCTCTAGTGGCTTAAGGAAACTAGGTTTCGTTGTATCTTCAGTATTGGTATTTGATGTAAACACAGCAACATAATTTTTTCCGAGTAGAAACCATCTTAGTCCATACAAAAAATCCAGTGGATTAGGATGATCATTAGCACCACCCATTCCTCTGATGTATGAGAAAAAAATTTCAAGAACGTATGTTGAATGTACATAGTTATATAGTTCTGCCATTGATTTTTTTTGTCAACAATATGCCCTTTTGAAATGGGATAAGAGACTTATGTTTTTCAACAACGATCGATGATTGGTTACGCGACTCAGAAGTTTATGTTGTGGTTCTAGGTCTTTACCAAAAGCATTTTTCCAATCCAAAACACAATTACAAGAGATTGCGCAAAATTTGGGGCCATTTCTTAAATCAAAGGTACAATTAAAGGTGGTAAATAATCCCCGACAAGCAACAATTGAGGTAGATAACATCGAGTGTCACAATTTCTTTCTTATTACAGTTATCATAAACCAACTGACACTTTTGTAGGATTAAATAATGATATCGTAAGTACCAACGAGTCAACTGCAACTTGTGTTAGTAATGTTAAATGTGTAAATATGATATACATTTTATATTCAAAAGAAAATTTAATTCAATTTTACCTATTAGTCACACATTTAGAAATTACTAGACTAACGTTTGCTTTAACAGGAATGTTGGAATTTTAAATTAGTATTGCTATGGTGCGTTAAGCAAGTTCAATGTTTTATGGATATGATTATTAATATAGGTAACGTTTTATATACATTACATAAAATATTTATGTAAACGTTTGTGCACGTGTTTCAGTTCTGAATCTTACCTTAACCGTGATTATTGATGACTGGTGCAAAATTGACGAGAAAAAGCAGAAAAAAAATCTCATTCAACGGCTTCTGCATGAGAAACTATGCGATTAAGATTATATAATCAGGGAGCATTATTCCAACATGTACTTTTAATTCTTGAAGTTATCCAGATTAAACCTGAATCAGTTTATATTTACAAAATAATAACGAAAATCACTTCTTACCGTGTCCATATTAGAAAGCGGCAAAGCAAATATGTATAAGATCCTCGAAACACAGAACAAAATATTCCAGAGGTTCATAATATAACTATATTTTTATATTCTTTTCAGTATGATTTGATCAGCTTAATAACGTTTATATTGCAATTCTCTGACGACAGATTGAGTATGAGTATATTGTTGCACTGACTGATGACTATTTAAAGCAGCAGCTGCTAAAGGACAATGAATTATGTGCAATTTAACATTGGGATAGAACTGGTACACATTTCAATTTCAATTAAATGATTGTAAAGTATGTATAGTTGACCCAGATTGCTAATTGTAACACTTTTAAGGTTTAGCACTTGATGCAGTTAGCCGCTTTAGCACCAATTTTCAAGAATCACGATATTACTAGTCATTTAGACATTAGCAGTATTAAAAAACATTTTATCAAATTCATAGTTGACAGGTTATCGCTTATGTTTTTACAAAACTTATAACACTAATAAGTAAGTATATACAAGGGTCGGCGCTTGAAGTGATACCAATTTTACGTTGCTGTAGCAACCAAACAGCTAATGACATCACCATCATTTTTTGACAAGCGTTGACAGTTATGGTGTTTACAATTCTACGGAAGCATACCGTTTTACCTCGCAGTTTCAAAAAGCGAATCGAATATCGAAATGGAACTTAAACGCAACAGTGTTATTGCTTTGAATTTGGCTGGAAAATCGCAACGAGCCGTTGTTATTGAACGAAAGTTTGTGTATCGGACTATTACACTCAGTTACAATGATACCGGTAGCATCAAAAAACGCCACGGGGTGGACATCCAACAGCAGCAACATCGCAAAAAATGGTACGAAACGTAAAGGCTAGAATCCAGCGTAATCCGCGACAAAGCGCATTTACAAAATACAAAAAGTTCAAGATTTAACACCTGCACAAAAGGCAGTTCGCCTCTCAAGAGCAAAGGTGTTAAAACTCTTGCACGTTAATGGCGAGATTCAAAATTTGTTGTTGTCTTTTCTGATAAAATTTTTTTTACAGTTCAGCAATATGTTAACAAGCAAAACGATCGTATTTGATTAGAGCACAAATTAAGGGACAATTTAGGGCAACGAATTGCTCTGCGAAAGCAAGGGCCTGCATCAGTGATGGTTTGTGCCGCGGTAACTGCCACAGGACCCTCACAAATCGTTTTTATTGAACAGGGCGTAAAGATAAATCAAGAAATCTACCGTGAAAAGATTTTAAACGATGCTTTGCTTCCTTGGGCAAGTTGACAATTCGGTCGAAACCATTGGACGTTTCAACAAGACTTGGCACCATCCCACAAAACTCGTGAAATCCAATATTTTTTACAAGAAAAGGTTCCCAGATTCATGTTCGCACAACAATGGCCAACATATTCCCGCGACTTAAACCCTATGGATTTTTCCATTTGGTCCATTCTGGAGGCCAAATTATCAGGAGCGGGTAAATCGCCACCCATGCGGATTACACTGCGCAAGCTCAAGCTCAATGTTTTGACGGGCGAACTGCTGATTACTGGTTGAAGAGTTTACTTTAGATTGTTTGCAACTTTTAAGAGTGAGTTCAGCAATATAAAAATACGGTGTGAAGTTTACGGTTTACAATACTGATACGAAACGCTGTAAAATTGAAAATAAAGTTTCATATCATCATCATTTATTATTCAAGATTAGAAAATAGATCCTACATTATTTTAAGCAAGTTATGGGCGAATGTTTGTTGTCGTGACATAGTTGCAACCTTTTTTACTACTTATAAGGAATTCTATTTATTTATTATTATATTATTTTTACTACTATTCGCGCTTTGTTCCCAAGATTTGTGTTTGGGCTCAAGCTATGTGCCCCCGTGCCGTTTATTCCTTACAAGGAATAAAGGTTTGCAACTTGCCAAAAGCAGGTTTAAAACTTAAGCTTGCTGCAGCTCTTTCCCTAAATTTTCCAAACTTAAAATCGTCAACAAAACCACATATAGATCGTAGCGGAAGGCCTTCAAATTAATTTGACGTTCTGGAACAAGCAATTTACATACATCAATATTTACAATCGCACCTTGGACACTACAGACAAGTACTCGTCTCTGCCTTGTATACCACAGATACCACAGATCACAGAATAACCTCTGTGATCTGTGGTATCATGCATCTGTTAAGTCGCCCGTCAGTGCAGTGAAATTGAACATGCGCAGTATTTGCTCCTAAACTATCGACAAAACAATATGGCACGGTCGAGCATTTTTAAATGGTAGCACTTCGAGTGCTGACCCCTGTATAATAAGTTATATTACAAAATATAGGAACGAAAAGGAAACAGGAAAAGCACTAAGGAAAAGATCTGCGCTTTTAATTGTTCGAATAAGAGCTTCAAAGTCGATGAGTTATAAAATAATTAAAGAAAAACGAACATTTAAATGAAGAACTCAAGAAAGCAATAGTAAAAATGAATTTTTTTTGTTATTTTTTTCAATTTTACGGACGTTAAATAAACAGTGTAATAATTCAGAAGAAACCGTGAAATCGTAAGTAGAGTTGGACCATTTTTATAAAAATCTGCCCAAAGGTGTTTTTTAAGAAAAATATTTACTAACTCTTTTAAGCTATGCGGTAAGCAATTTGATTACATTTATCGCAAATTATATAAATATTCTATTGTCCTCTAATGGACTATTGTTCCCTCAAATTTTAATCAACAAATCAGCACTCCTCAAAAGGAAACAAAGCAAATCAAGTGCTTTTCCTGTGGAAACATGGGACGTTTCTAAATATTGTGCTGCTAAGCGTAAAAATTATAATCCAAGTGGCGCTAGTGTGGCCTGTCGGTACTGCAAAAAAAACCCAACCAAATTATCGACGATTGCTTTCGTCGGCAAAACCTCAGATTCTAAAGAGAGACTCACTGTTCCAGAGACAGTCTAAAAAAACTGATTTTAAAATTTCAATGACTGACTGACTTGATGTATTATTATTTGTGTCCACACTATCAATATACTTTGAATAATAATCTACCATTAGGAGATATTTCCGACTGCACAGTTCAAAAATGTCACACGAAATTTTATTCCATTGTAATGAAGGAATGTCATGAGTTATAATAAGGTCTTTAATTTGAGAGTTTGCATAAGTAAGACATTGATGGCATAGAGATATTTATACCCGGCCAAAATAATGATTGTTGTGCCAATTTAATACATTTTTTAATCCCTAAATGACTATAATGTATTCTGTTTAGCATTTCTTGCTGTAGCGCTTTAGGCACTGCCAAGCATTTATCTTTAAAAATCAATCCGTCAGCAATTGTCAAGTCAGATTTATACGGTGCAAATAGTTTTACGTTATTATTTAGTTTTTTCGACGAATTAGGCCAACGGTTTATAATTAAATTTTTTGGTTGTTTAAGAATGGGGTCGTTAATTTATTCCATTTAATTCCATTCTTACTAAACATATTTGACTCTCAATGCCCGAGAGAGGGCAGCCGCTAATATTAAATCTTTCCCCGGCTTAAACCTTAATTCTATATCAAATTTTTGCTGTTGCAGCATCATTCGCTGAAGTCTCGCTGGACATTTATTTAGTTTTTTTGAAAATTGATATTAAAGGCTGATGATCTGTCTCCACGGCAACCTACATGCCTGTGCCCATACGCATATTGATAAAACTTGTTTAAACCCAAGTATATTGCGTAAAGTTCTTTTTCAATTTGTGCGTATCTTGTTTGTGTTTCTGTTAAAGCTTTTGAAGCATATGCACATGGCAGATTGTTTTGCAATAAACAAGCTCCCACTCCCGACTTTGAAACATCAACTGAAATTACAACTTTTTAATCTGGTCAAAAAATTGCAATACGGGTGTATTTATTAATATTTCTTTTAAGTTTTGAAACGCCTTCTCATGTACCTGGCTCCAAATAAACTCCATATCCTTTTTTTTGGGAGTTCTGTTAGTGGTTGGGTTTGATCGGAAAAGTTTTTGATGAATTTACTTACATATGTTAGCATACCTAACATTCTTTGATTATTGCTTATTTGATGGCCGTCAGAGATGCGAGTATATGAGACGGATGAATGGAGAGAGAAAAGAGAGCAAATCCAATATAACAAAACCTAAAAATAAAAACCTGTAAGATTTTGACATTGTCAGAAAAAAGTTTTTATGTACAGACATATCGGTAGTTTTATTTAACGAACCCGTCGACGGCCCTTTGAGGTTTCTTTTGGTGCACGACACAACATTTGGCGACCGTGACAGGACATTTTCTGGAAAAAAATAGTGGATCTTTTCGGTCTGTGCATAAGCAGGTAAACACCTGTGTACATTTGAAGAGTGTGTGGAAAATCCGTACCAGCGTAGTTGAGGTTTGCAAACTTTTACCGGGTTTCAAACTTTGTCGTTTTAACCTCGAAACTTTGAGTGATTTTCAATCGGGTTTGCAAAACGTTTATCATGGCTACGGGACTTGAAGTTACAAAGAAAAGCCGTACCGCGTACCGGAGTGCGTTTACACGAACCGCGAACGAACTAGAAGTGGAGTTACAGTCGGAAAATCCTGACAAAGATTTTATACAAGTTTCCCTCGAAATGTTACAGTCAAAATTCGACTCTCTGAGCAAAATTGACTGTGAACTATATGACCTGTTGTTGGAAACGTCGACAGCCGCCGAACTTGAATCTGATATAGAAAGCTGTGATGTCTATACCAAGAAATTCACTACACTGCCGCTGAAATGTAACAAGCTTCTTGAATCAGGCGCCCTAACTGGAAGTAGTGACAACAGAGGGGCTGAAGGAAGAAGTACCGTCAGTTTCGAAGATAACCACACAGGTATGCGTAAATTTAGACTTCCTTGAATTGAGTTCTAACACTATGACGGTAGCATTAAAGGCTGGATGGCTTTTTGGGCTCAATTTAAAAAGGTGCATCAAGATGAGACTATAAACAACCATGATAAAATGTAATACTTAATTCAGGCAACTTTACCTGGAAGTCGTGCCCGACAACTTGTTGAAAGCTATCCCGCCATGAGTGAGAACTATAATAAAATTATAGAACGCATGCAAAGTAGATTCGGCAGGGAGGACCTTCAAATAGAGGTATATGTTAGGGAGTTATTAAAGTTGATTTTAACCAACACAACCTCTAAACAAAAGTTGGAGATAAGCAGTCTGTATGATCAAATTGAAACTCATTTGCGAGCCTTGGAGACACTGGGGATAACAACTGACAAATGTTTGTTCGGTCATGTTGTATCCATTGATAGAATCTTGTTTCCCCCGGGATTTACTTAGGGTCTGGCAACGTTCAGCTATTTTTAATAGCCCTGCTAGTGGTGAGAACCCAACTGACTCTTCGTTGGAAGTTCGTCTAAAGCAACTTGTGCTTTTCCTCAAACAAGAGGTGGAAAATGAGCAGCGCATTAGTTTAGCAGCTGAAGGTTTTGGTTTAGCCGGTGGTACAAGGTCATCTGGAGGAGACTATGCTGCACAAAGACGGGGAAAAGACAGACTTCATAACGAACCAACGGTTTTGGGTCTTGTTAATGCAGAGAGTAGTCGCACTAGTCGCTGTTTGTTTTGTTCAGGTACTCACTTGTCCGAAGCCTGTTTTAAAGCCCAAAGAATGATCTTGGAACAACGGAAAGACGTGGTTGCTAAACGGAGAGCCTGTTTTCGTTGTCTGAAAATTGGTCACCAGTCGAAACAATGTAGGGGAAGCATGAGATGTTTGTTATGTAGTCGTTCTCACGTTTTTTTAATGTGCTCTGAGCTACCCGCAACAACTAAGCAGGAAGGTGGAAATGACAAGCAGGGTGAACCATCCACGTCGGACGAACCAAATGGTATACTGTTTGTAGAGGTCTCTTTTCCCATACTTTTGAAGCCTTGGACCAGTTTAGACCAATGAGTTAGACATTTTGGGTATCAAAGTATCAGATGCTGTACCGTCCGGTCCAATTGAATTGCTGTTAGGGGCAGAACATCAGCCCCTAACAGGTACGTTATACACCGAGCGACGAGAACAATTACGCTGTGGATTGGTTGCCATGGAGACCCAACTAGGCTGGACACTTATGGCGAAGGTTTCAAGACGACGTTAAACTTGTTGGTGCAAAACGCGTCCCTTGCTCAACTGTGGGAACTGGAAGCTCTTGGGATTAAAGAGCCCTCGGATAAACGTAGCAAAGAAGACGCCGCCGTTGCAGCCAGGGAACTTTTTAATCAGACAATCCACATTAATTCAGAAGGGCGCTACGAGTTCAGGTTACCATGGCTGGAAGGCCATCCCCCACTTTCCAGCAATTATAATGTAGCACATAAAAGATTGGAGTCTGTTATTCGAAAATTGAAGCAGTGGGAAACAGAGGGAATCATCGAGAAGATTAATCCAGACAAAGTTAATCATCTTCTAGGACACTATCTGCCCCACAGGCCTGTTATCAAAGAGAGCAGTGTGACTACAAAAATAAGGCCGGTTTTTGACGCTTCGGCTCATGAGAAAGAGAAACCTGCTCTGAATCACTGCCTTGGAAAGGGACCCAATCTGATAGAGCAAATACCTTCCATATTATTGCGATTCAGAGAGAAAGGGATTGGAGTAGTGGCTGATATTCGTAAGGCGTTCCTACAAATAAGTGTACATACTGCAGATCGTGACTTCTTAAAATTTGTATGGCTAGACTCTCAAGGACGCGAAGTCGTATACAAGCATCGAAGAGTAGTTTTTGGGTTGACTAGCAGTCCTTTTCGCCTTGGAGCCACTTTGGATCATCATGTGTCCCAATGCTTAGATTTGTGGTGTTCAGCTAAGTCGAGTGGTAATCTGCTGTATTCCCGTGGGACGGTGGAGAAATTGAAACAAAGTTTTTATGTGGATAATTGTATGGTTAGCTTATCCACAGAAGAAGGTGTTGAAAAGTTCATCCGGGAATCAACAACCATATTGAAACAAGGACTGTTTGATCTAAGAGGTTTGATCTGGAGGAATAAATTTTGGTAATTTTGAAGAAACTTGTCCAGTGCTGGGACTGAATTGGTACCCCAAAGGAGATTATCTTACTTTGAATTACAGTTTCCTGAAAAACGTTACTTTGGAGATAAACGCTGTTACTAAGCGACAGATACTCGCTTTGACACAGAAAGGTTTTGACCCAATTGGTTTTGGTAGTCCCACTACGCTTATTCCGAAACTGATGCTTCAACAATTATGGAAGGACAACCTGACCTGGGATCAACCAGTGAAAAAGTCCGCGTCGTGAACTCGACGCGGACGAGTATAACGCGGCAAAGGTACAAATCCTGACACTAGTGTAAACGAAATGTTTCACTGGATTAAATGACTCTAGACAAACTGGTTTGTCCCCTGCGTATGATGAGAAAGGATTGCTACGTATCAAGTCCAGAATATCTACAAGGTTAGATAGCGATGACTTTCGTTTTCCTGTAGTGTTGCCATCCAAACATGCTATAGTGAAAAGTATGATCATGGAAGCCCATGTTAAGTCATGTCATGTCGGGACACAGGGTCTGCTTTCACTCCTTCGAGAGAGATTTTGGTTGTTTAGTGGAAGGCGAACTATTAGATCCGTGATAAAGCAGTGTGTGGTTTATAACCGGTTTAACTCCAAGAATTTGTCTGCTAAAACGCCACCGCATGCCCTAAAGCGCCATGGATCGTGTACCAGATGCGGCAGTTTTTGAGGTGACCGGAGTGAATTTTGCGGGGCCGCTATACCTTAAACCTGGAGAGAAGGCATGGATATGTTTATTTACTTGCGCCGTGTATCGAGCCGTACATTTGGAACTTACCACTTCACTGTCCACCCCTAGTTT